AGGAATTCACACTGTTGTGACTGGCTGACTTTGGGAACTGAGGTTTCAGTCTGGGAAGATTCTTGCTAGAGGTTGTAGCTGATAAACATTGCTGAACTGAATCTACATGGTCTCCTGGAGTTCCTTAGGCTAGGCCTGACATACAGTACATAAACAAATTCTGTCCAGGATGATGTGTCTTCAACTTGAACTTTTAGGTTTCTCAATGGTGCATTCATTGCTGTTGTACTCTAATCAGTCCCAGACACCTTGCTGCTGGTCATCCTCTACTTCTCTTCTTTCAACTTCTGCCAGTATCATGGTCCTCTCAAGGATCTTCACATAATGTATCCAAAATATGATAGTTTGAGGCTTGTCATGTGGGCCTCAAGTGAAAATTCTGGAATGATTTATTCTATGATCCATTTGTTGGTTTTCTTGGCTCTTCATGGGATTCTCAGGAGTCTTCTCTAGCAACGCAGTATAAAGGCATCAATACTCTTTCTATCCTGCTTCTTCAAAGTCCAAGTTTCTCATCCATAGAATACCACAGGAAAAACCATTGCCCAAACAATTCTAATCTTTGTAGGTATAGACACATTATGGCATCCGAATATATTTTCCAAGGCCTTCATCATTATCCTACTGAGTGCTAGTTTGCACATATTTCTCGACTGCTGAATTCTTTAGTCTTGATGGTCAGTTCTAAAAGGTAGAAGTTATCCACCACTTCAGTGCCTTCATTATCCATTCTTACACTAGTTGCTGTGCTTGTCATTAGTTTAGTCTTTTTTATATTTAATTTTAAACCTGTTTTTCATTGTTCTCTTTGATTTTCATTACTAGAACTTATTATTCGCATTTTCAGCACAGCATAGGTTATGAATGTTTCTTCCTCCAACTTTAAACCCACACTCATCTTCTTCCAATCCAACCTCCTTCAATATATATTCAGCATATAAGTTGAATAAATATGGAAAGAATATACCACCTTTTCTCACCCCTTTGCTGACTTGCAGCCAGTCTGTATTGCTATATTCGGTCTGGGTTATGGTTTCCTGACCTATGTATAGACTTTGTATGAGGACAATGAGATATGCTGGGATTCCCATTTTCCTAAGGACATTCCACAGCTTGACAGGGCTTCCACAATCAAAGGCATTTCTATAATCAATGAAGCACATATTGACTTCTTTTGGGTAATGTCTTCCTTAATTATCCATCATGCATCAGCAATATTATCTTGCTCCTCAGTTTTTCAAAAACCACCCTGAATAGCAATCATTTTCTTTCCATATAGAATTCTAATAACCTATTGGGTGATCCTGAGCATTGTTGGGCAGCATGTGAAATAAAGGATTTTGTGTGATAGTCTGCACACTCTGCCAAGTCTCCTTTCTTTGGTATTGATACTTAAACTGATCTCTTCCAATTTATTGACCACTGTGTCATTCTCCAAATTTGCTGGAATAGTTTGGTTAGAATCTGTATTGATTCTTCTGTTGCTTGCCATAATTCTATAGCTATTCCACCAGTTCCTGTCGTTTTCCAATGTGATAGTGACCAGAGTGTTGATCTAACATCCTCTTCTAGTACTAGAGGTTCTGGCAAGTTTCTAAGGTATCTTGGATGCTGATGTCCCTAGTGTAAAGATTTTAGTGTATTCCTTCCATGTCTGTTTGATCTTCAGTTACAATCTGCCCATTGGCATATTTTAACATACCATTTAAGGTTGAAACTTCTTTATGAGTTTGGAGATCTTTTGGAAAACTTTCCTTCTTCTTGTCTCTTTGTCTCCATCTCCAGTGTCTTTACAGATGTCATAATACTTGTCCTGTCTCTTCTAACAGGTTTTTGAAAATCCTTATTAAGTTTCCTTGTGAGATCTTTATCTTTTTTTTACTTTGGTTTCTCTTCTCCTCTCAGCATTTTCCACTGTTGGTTCATGAATATGTGTGAGTTAACCAAACAAATCATGGCCTATTATGTTTTCTGAATATCATACAGAATGTTTATCAAACTAAGGTTAAAACAAATAATAGCTTAATATGATGTATATAACTATGTGTTTACTTCTCTAGTGGTATGATTTCCTATCTTCAAAATGCTTCTTTGATCTCCTAATTTCCTGAGGCAGTTTCCCAAAAGTATTCTTAGGGAGAAAGCTAAAACGTGATTCCCTGCATGACAACTGTCCCCATTCAGCTGGGTGTCCTCTGCGTAGAAATTTAGGGAAGGGCTGGAGGGCTTGTCCTGGAGAGAAAGATGGGAATCTCTGCTATCACTAGCACAGATGCATGTGCCTCCAGCTGAATCCAACCCATTACATTTAAAAGCTATAGATTCATGAATGCATGGCATTTATCCCTCATAAGCTTTTGTTTTTTTTAATTTATTTGTTTGCTGGAATAGTACCGCAGTGAAAATAGTAAAAGTAAAATGGCCAGCCAAGGATGAAAATAATCAAGGCAAGAAAAAAAGCACAAGGGAAGCCAAGATTCCAAAATCTTTACTGCCACAAATGCGCTCCACATAAAAAGCCATTCCTCTGTGCCTTCAAATGTTCTGGTTGCCTCAGAAACAAGGCCAAGATATTTCACATCATGCACACCCACATATACTGCAATAGAAGCTGCATTCATTAGGAGCGCAATGGTTTAACAGTCAAAGGCAAAACAGGAGGATTAGCACCATATTTATGAACATTTCATTATTCAGAACTTGAATAGATATGAACGGTATCAGGGGTATATTGATATAAATCTGGACTAGAATGCAAAGATTGGGAACTGGAAACACTGCTATGTTTGCAATTGCCTTGCCCCAAATTAATTTGATATAACAAACTCCCATGATGATGACTGCAAAAACCTACATCTCTAGGGGCGTTTTCCCCTCTATAGGCAACATGCCTATCTTTTTTATGTCACATTTCCTTTTTAAACTGAGGTGTTAAGAAAAGTACTGCAAGGGTAGGAAAATTGCCTCCCATTATTTCTGCCCATCAGTATGATTATGCAGAGTGGGTGTGTTCTTGGTCCTGTCACCTTGTGGGACCAAGGAAGTGTGCCTTTTCTGTCACAGCACCTGCCCTCTGAAACAGCATCCCCCCGGAGATATGTACAGAGTCCACCCTTCAAAGATTCTGGAAATTTCTTAAGACCTGGCTATGTTCCCAGGCCTGGGATTTGGGTATTTCTCGAGCCCCTGGATATTATTTATGTGGATCTGTCTGGGCCATCATGTTCTCCCTCCCCTTCTAGCTATTAATTTCTGCAAAGATGTTAAAAATATAAGATACTTATGCCAACTTGCTCAAAATTTCTATTTTTAAAAAAAATACCCTTCCCCCAGATTTTCTATTTTCTCAAAATTTCTGGAAGTTTTATGTGTTGTGTGTAGAGCAACTTAATGCTAATCAGGGAGGGACAGGAAAAAAACATAAAAATAAGAAGCCCATAAAATCAGAGCATTTCATTGGTCACAGAACATTAAATAACCCTTTTGAAAAAAGAGAAAAAGAAAACTATGAATTGTGGTGGAAGGGGTGGCAGAATATCTTGGAAAAGGACATGACTAGCTGAGTACTGTATTTGTAAATTGATATACTGTATCACATGGCTCTTACCTTGTTTCCTTGAATGCCTTTTGGGCCAGGTTCACCTGGTGGGCCACCAACTCCCTTTAGCAAAATAAAAAAAGGGGAGAGAACTGAATTTTCTACCAATGGACATATATTTATTATTACATTTATGAATCATATTCTGCTCATCAGAAACTGTACATTTGTTAGACATCCTAGATGGAATTTAGTACATAGTCTCAGTAACAAAACAAAAAACAACTTGTAAACAAAGAAATATGAAGTCTTGAAGTACAAGAAGGCAGAATTATTTGAATTCATTTTATTGCAAAAGATATGTTATTTCTTTGTTTTTAATTCGCTGTTCCATTTCTGCTATCTGAATCATATTTATTTATTTATATGATTTATATAGCCATCCATCTCACACAAGTCACTCTGGGCTTGTCACAAGGATTAATCACACACCCACACACACGACCTATAATACCATGTTAGCCTTTTAAAACAACTGCTCAAATTCTACTACTTTTGAAGTGCTTAAAATCATATGAATAAGAAGAAACATTTATTATAAAAATATTACCCAAAGTCAGCTATTACACAGGAAGTATTTCTATGACATAATGTGAATTTTCTACACCTGCTTTCCTCTCTCATATTCAGTTATTCATTATATCACTCCTTACATCCACATTCTGGTGGATTTTCAATAAGCATGAAGTTACATTTTATGAAGGAGTGAAAACAAAATAAAGTGAGTGTGGTAGAAATGCATAGAAAATGTTTTTAAAAGTAGGTTTCATTTCTTAATTTGAGAATTCTGTTTTATTAATTATATATAAAGTAGTCCATTTATATTTTGTTTTTCCATTCTTGAGAATGCTTACGGCAGTTTATACGTAAGTGCACAAATATTAAAAGTTGGACCCAAACATGCGTAATATTAAAAAACAAAATATAAAAATTAGATACTTAAAGCCACATTAAAATATACAAATACTAAAATTTTTAATATTTAAAGGCCTGGCCTCAGAGATAATTTTTACTTTCTTTTTTAACCATAGAGAAAATAAAGATCTAAGGCAGTGTTTTTCAAACTTGGCAACTTTATGATGCGTGGACTTCAACTCCCAGAATTCCCCAGCCAGCATGCATCAAGTCCATACATCTTAAAGTTGCCAAGTTTGAAAAACACTGATCTAAGGCAATTCACTGAAAAATAAATGCCACAGCTTAGAAGCAAAACTAATAAACAGGCCTCTGAAAAGCCAGGGAAAGAGTCATAAGGGACTTTTCCTCCAATCTTGATGACTGAAAATTTCATTGGATCTGGAAAGCAATTAGCAACCTGCTGTGTTGTAGTGGAAAAAAATACAAACAACATACACAGACCTAAACACAATTATTCTTTATGAACAAACTCTGACAAAAGTGTTGCTTTAATGGCTACAGCTCCTTCAAAACAATATGAGCAGCAATGGACCAAAAGATACTGCTAACACATAGAAATTGCTAACACACAGCATCACTCAGAATATATAACACAATCAATGAGTCATTTCACTGTTTCTTTGGAATAACTAACTAGACCAGTGTTTTTCAAGCTTGGCAACTTTAAGATGTGTGGATTTCAACTCCCAGAATTCCCCAGCCCCCATGCTGGCTAGGGAATTCTGGGAGTTGAAGTTCAGACATCTTAAAGTTGCCAAGTTTGAAAAACACTGAACAAGACCAAGAGATGTGATCCGTTGGTCACACCATCCTATGGTCATATCACCAAAATTCAGCAACAAAATTTTGGAACTGTGGCTGCACCAATTGCGGGTAATAAAATAAAATAAGGTTGGGAATTTTATTTGAGAATAACATGCTCTTATACTCAAACCCCACAAAAATCACAAAAAAAGGCCCCATTCCTCTTTGGTATTTCAAAGTATCAAAGGCAGGACCCTACAGCTCATGGTCAAGAAGGCTGGGATACCAACCTAGAAAAAGTGCCTTAGACTCATAGATTTCTGAAGCCTTATTCCACCTGGAATAAGGCTTCAGAAGAAATCCAAAATATCTGAAAAGCAAAATCCAAACCACCTAGGGATTTTTAGTAGGAATACAGTTCTCTACCCATGGGAATCTGTCTTAAACAGAGAAGGATATTTATGGAGAAATGCTAGATATTTTTCTACTAAAGGCTAAAGAATTGGCAGGGAGGGAAGCTAGCAGTTCTACTGAGAAGACAAAAATGTTCTCACGATACTACTTCAAGCTAAGGACTGTAGAACAGAATACTGAATACGAATAAATGACAATCCAGAGATTGATAGCTGTTAAAAATAAAAACAGAGACAAAAATCTGTACATATTTAAGAAGATAATCTTACAGTGCTCTCAATTATTTGAGTTTCTAGAACAAAAAAAGTCTTATGCTATGACATTGGAATGCACCCAGCATTCAACATCTGGAAACAGTAGCCAGATACCTCCAAGAAACTCATAAGCCAAACATGAATTTTAAAGTTTCATTTTTTTTTCATAACGGCTTTAAGATTATATAAAAACTCTAGCAACAAAGGCAAGTTATTGTCATATTTCAAATAATCTCTAAAAGTTTTTTGTAAAAGCCATGCTGATTTGCTTTCAGCAAGATTTGATAATCAGTATCAGGGTTGCATCCTCTTCACATTCTTCATTCTCCAAAAGTTTTTGCTGCGTTTTAATATTTAAACTGACATGAGAATCTTATTAATCAAGATGGAGAATGATAATATTGATTCTGTTTAGTTAATTTAATTCTGTTTTATTTATATTTACATTTAAAGAAATAGCATTTAATTCTTCATCCTGGCCCAATAGTTTTTGAAGTACATTCCATACACTAAAGTCCAGGTATGGTCCTTGGCTTAAAAAGGGGGCTTGTATCTTCTTTTAAAAAACAAGCCTCATACAATTAATGAACAATTAATATGGGCTTAAACCAGCTTGCCTCAGACAAATGTTAGTTTGCTAAATCTGTCATTTCCCTTCTAGCTCCTTTTTCTAAAACCGATATCACTGGCTACCTTACAGTCATCTCTGATGGAGATCTATTTTAGTGGTAAGCTGCAAATGTCTGCTAAAAGAGCAATAATTTCATTCTCAGTTCTATTTATTATTTATTGAAGGCATTTTAGGCATCTTTCAAAACTATAATCCTCCCAGATAATTTTATTTATTGACAGTGCAAGACCAAATCACAGAATTTAAAAAATACAGCACAACATTAATGCAGTACATTTATAAGTAACTATATATATAAAAGGGAGAAACCCCTATAAAGTTAACATTTCATAGAAGGGATCAAGCTATTTAGAATTTTGCTACTCTCTTCGAAATACCTGCATGTTGGTCATTTAATAAGTATGCCTCAGTCTCCTCATCATGAGTGGAATTTATCAGACTAAAGGGCGGCTATATTAGCTCTGATCACCTGTACTTGTACACTGGGCATTTTAAAAGGATGTGTGAAACAGACTCAGCTTCTAGATGTGAGCATACTCAGTCTTCATATGGAAAGCTGGAATATCGACTACCTGTCACCCTAGTAAGGACAGCATCTATGTGGATTAGGGAAAAGAGCCTCCTATGTGGGGCATACAGAATTATATTGAAGTAATCGGGGAGTGTTGAGGGGGAGAGAGCAATTGTCTATATGAGAGATGTGAAAGTTTGGCTCTGTCCACCTGACTGTCTAAATCCCATACCCTCTGCTAAAGTTCTTCCAGGGTTTTTTCTAAGTGTAAAAAAAGGAGGGCTGGTATTGACAGTTTATACCAGCGTTTCTCAGCCTTAGCAACTTTAAGATGTGTGGACTTCAGCTCTGAGAATTCCTCAGCCAGCATTCTGGCCGGGAAATTCTAGGAGTTGAAGTCCACACATCTTAAAGTTGTCAAGGTTGAGAAACGCTGGTCTATGCTGTTTCAGATCTTGGTCCATGTGTTTTTTTCAGAGTAGATTGATGTATATCATATAGAATAAGATGTACCAATGAGATTCTTGCCCATGCCTCAAATGAGATGCAGCCTACTTCTAATCTGGTAATAGCATTAGAAGTTGAGTATGGAACGGGTGCTACTGATTTAAAGGATTTTGTTAGTATTCATTCAAGGATTGAGAAGTTTTTGTAAATACACATCTGAGATCCACATGTGCATGCTAAGAACTTGGCCTTGAATAGCTTTAACTGCTACAGGACAAAGTTGCTTCCCCACCAGCCAGCAAGTGTACTGATCACTAGAAATACTTTTTGAGCTTTCATAGCTAACTGTCTTATTTGATGACCCCGTCATGTGAAGGATTGGAAGTGAATACCCAGGTATTTAAATGATTTCACCTGCTCAATGGGTCTGCCATTAACTGTTCAGCTTGGTGGATTATCAGAGCATCTTCTGGAAAAAACCAGAACTTTTGTTTTTTGGTACTTTATTTGAGGCATTCTCTATCACAGTACCTCAAAAGCTCCTTGAAACCTCTACATAGCCCAGTTTTTGAAACCAAAAATTTAGCTGCGTCATCTGCCTACAGAAGAATGGGGTTTGGACAATGGGCAAGGGATGGAAGATGGAAGTCTGGATTGGCAAAAGCTACAACAATATCATTAATGTAAAGTTTAAACAATAGGGTGACTAGTATACATCTTTGTTTAACCTCTTTATGAGTGGGGATAGACTCTGTTAGATCTCCAAAATTAGTGCCTTTAACATGCATAGTGATATCACAGGGTGATTGAATAATCAAATTAAGAAAACAAAATTAAGAAAATTAGCCAGTTTTCTCCAAAGTTTTTCTTGGGGAATGGAGTCAAAGACTGCCTTTAAGTCAACAAAGGCAGCAAAAAGAGCACCACTTGCAAGTTTATAATATTTCTTTGCCAAATGATGTAATACTGGGGACTGATTTATTGTAAAATATCCATCCCTAAATCCTGCTTGTACTGGCACTATAATGTTCTCGGAATACATCCAGTCCTGTAATTTGTGGCAGGGAAATCTAACATAAAGTTTACTAATTACAGGGAGCAGACTAATTGGATGGTGGTTGGCAGGATCTCGTCTGTTTCCTTATATATTGGGCAAGTGTTGGAGTTGAGCCAGTTTTGAGGAATTACCGCAGAGGAATTTATACCAGTGAAATTTAATTTTCAATATAAAAATACCAGTAACAACTGCATGAAACAATCAATTGGTTTTTTTTAAAAAAAGAAGGATCCAGTTAAAATAAGAAAATGTAAACTTACAGAGCAAATGCCGTTTTATATAAGAAAAGTAGAATAGAATTGTTAAAAGCCAAGAAAGTATACACATTTTCAAAATCCTTTTTAAAATGTAAGCAACTGGAACGATCCACTGATCTTAAATATGTTGAATCTATGTACTTGAGATAGAGAACTGTATTTTCATGGAACAGCTAACAAAACAACAGCATTCCTCTTAGTATAATGCTTCTCAACCTTGGGAACTTTAAGATGTGTGGACTTCAACACCCAGAATCCCCTAGCCAGTGTCATGCTGGCTGGGGAATTTTGGGAGTTGATGTCCACACATCTTAAAGTTCCCAAGGTTGAGAAACATTGGTCTAATGGGAACATTCTTAGTAACCCCACAGACATAAACAGAGAAGGGATAAATCTTCCTTCTTGTAAGCTTTGCTCAAGCTAAGTTACCCCTGTACCCATGTACCACTGTTTAATTAAAGTAAATAGAAGCTAGCATGTTCAGTATAATGTGTAGTTTAGTCCTGAGAAGTAGGACAAAGTAATATTTAGTAACACAAATAATAATGAAATGGTCAGTAGAATTTAAGAAACTTACCTGAGGGCCTCTTGGTCCTTTGGGGCCAAAAGGGCCATCTGGACCCTGTTCAAATAAAATAATAAAAATTATTAATAGTGAATTCTGGTTTAAATAATGCTTTCTAAAACATTCTCTTTGCTACAGCACATTATCTGTACATGAGAAGAGAATTTTCTAATCTTACCTTTTTCCCAGTGCTTATTCTTTTCTATATTATCAATTTTCAGCTCTCACATGTAAAGACATATTTACAGTTGAATTTACCAGTGTTACTGATATATCACCTATTATATTGATATTTGGCAATATAGAGCATGCTATACTCAAAGTCTAACTGGGTTAATGGTCTGCAAGGGAGAAAAACAGATAAATTAGACTCAGGTTTCATCCTCCCTGTTTTTAGCTGAACCTCCTGATAGCTGTGTGCGAGCAGCATCTCTAGATGCACGAAGTGGCTCTGCTTCTGGCATGATCTCCAGCTGCATGTATATAACCTACTGAATGAGGAGCATCTGCTGGAAGGGAGTCAAAAGGTCAAGACAGCAGGTACAATCGTTCAATTGATGCCATGCCCCTTTTTATATGCATCCTGCATGCAACACATTCAAAAAAGTAGTATGGCTTCAATCATAGGGCCATAGCCTGTAGCTTGACTTTTTTGACCCTGCCCTCATGGATGCCCCTGTACTCAATAACATAGTATTCATAGCCTTTGGGTTCCTGGGAAAATAATATTTCGGTGGATTCCCAATATCTTTATGACATTCAGATTCCCAGATTGTCTTGAAGGATGTTGTGAAAACTGAAAAGCATAAATGGGAATTCCAAGCAGCAATCACAAGAGGGTAGTCTAAGGATTACAGGTAGTCCTTGGGTCACAACCACTCATTCAGCGACCATTCAAAGTTATGACGGTGCTAAACAAGGGGGACTTATGACCAGTCTGCAAAGTTGTGGCTGTTGCAGCCTCCCATGGTCACGTGATTGCGATTCAGGCACTTGGCAACTGGCTTGCAATTACAATGGTTGCAGCGTCCCGTGGTCACATGATCCCCATTTGCAACCTTCCCTGCTGGCTTCCCACAAGCAAAGTCAATGGGGAAACTGGCAGGGAAGGTTGCAAGTCGCTCTTGTAAGCCATCCCTGCCGCTTTTTTGCCCACCTGCCTGTGGCACCCACTCACCAGCCCATGGTCTCTAAAGCCTGCCTGCAGTACCCACCCATCCCCCCTGCAGCACCCATCCACACACCCATGGCACCCACACATGTACCCATGCTTCATAGCGTCTACCGACACCCGCCTGCGTGCCTCCAGCACCTGCCCATGCTCCGTAGTGCCTGCCCATAGCACCCACTTATCTGCCCGCAACATGCCTCTGCTCTGTAGCAGCTGCCCATGGCACTTATCCACACTTCATAACACCTGCCCACGGCACCTGCCTGCTTGCCTATGGCACCCCTGGTCCCCGTGCTCTGCAGTGCCTCTCTGTGGCACCCTCCTATGCTCCGTAGTGCCCGCCTGTGGCACCTGCCCACTTGCCCATAGCTGTCATCCACAGTCCTCATCTGCTGGCCTGGGACTCCCGTCTTTTCCCATGTTGCGGTCATGAGGTCCTCGCTTAATGACCTGAGCAGAGCTGGGTTTACGACGGAAACCAGGACTGCCAGGATTGCCACTGCTAAACAATGCAGTCACGAGACATTGCACTTAGCAATGGAAATTCCAGTCCCAATTGCCATTGTAACCCGAGGACTACCTGTATATTAAATATTAGCAATCTTTTCTGGCACCATTGTGTGATTTTATACAATCACAAAATCTTACAATACCTAATAAGATTTCTCATTAGTTTGCTTAAATGTAAACACTTGTACAAAACCACTGAAATATTGCAAGCTGTAGAAGTTCTGCGATATTTTAGCCTGCTAGATTTCAGATCACAAGAGTTTGGTGATTTCAATTTTTAAAAAATTGGCTTTCATTCTGGAATATCCTTTCAACACCAAGAATTTCTTACATGTAGGACTTAATTGCAAGAATTCAACTAAAGACTGAATTAAGAGGTCTTTGAAAATCAGAAAAATCCCTTCTAATAATTGGAACATTGTGTTGGGGAAAAAGTGATTTTATAGGGAAAAGAAGAGAAGAGAGTGTGAAATGTAATATTTAGGAGAGGATACTTTGTTTGGGCCCTGGAAGTGAGTACAGAATACTTCTTTTCTTTATCTGGCTCCTTTAATTTAAGCACACACAGCTTGTTCTCTGAAAATCTGTATAAATAGACTATGTCAGCTTCTGTATTCCACCATGCAGCAGTCATTTGTTAAGCTATTATGAAAGCAGGGATTCCGACTGCTGGGAAAGCCCAAAATTAGGGGCAATGGGAAACATCAGTAATGAATTACCTAAATCCAAAGAAAGGTTACTCCAGGGCATATAACAGTGCAGCCATTATATTATAAAGATATGTCCAGACTGTAAACGGGTCCTTGAAGATTGGAACTGTGCCCTTGATATTTTCCTCTCTGCTCCTGCTATATGTCTAGTTATTTCCCACTAGCATAATTTCTGTCTTTCTCTTGTATGGAAAAAAAAAAAAGTCTTTTTGGCAAAGCCTTTTCATCTTTTTCTTGCAAGTGGGAATCTTGTGGGTGATGAGAAATCTGGACCATTCAGAGATGTCTTTGAGTGCTTAATCCATTATGGCTTTTTAATCCTTTACAGATGTTCCATGCCTTCTTATTCTTTGCCGTCAACAAAATCTGAATGCCCAGACAAAGCGGTTTCCTTACATTTCTACAATCTGAACATATGGTTTCTATGTTCCTTTTGTGGTTTCCATTTTACCGCCAGCTGCTATCTAATTTGGCTTTTATCTTTACACACAGAGACACACATGCTTCACTTTATCCCCTACTATGGCTTTACCTGCTCTTAGTGTAAATGGATAATGTGAGAAGAATATGGTAAAAAATGTGGATTCCTGTTTATCAGATTAAACAATTTTAACACAATTCTCTCTTTGGCCAGAGATTTTAAAAAATAATCTAAAAGGAGAGACTAAGAGCAATGGCAGTCTATCACCAAGGAGCCATGTTGCCAACTATTGGCAGAAGACAATGTCTGAAAAGAACGACAAAGGACTGAGAATGGCTTGAGAAGCTCCATTTCTCATGTTACATATACCAATATGGGATCTAAATTGGAACTGTTATTTCCTGAGGAACTGCAGCTGTCCATTTTTTTTTAAACCAGACCCACAATTATTGCTCTGTGAGCACATATTAATGAATATAGTGTTGTATCTTGTGTATTTATAATGTGATCAACTGCCATACATCAACACTAAAGCATTAAAAGTAAAGTAAAAGTAAAAGTAAAGTGCCCTTTGCGTCAAGCTGGATACATCCTATCTTTTGTTGCTTTGTTTCCTGATTTATTTTTTTTTTACTTCCTGTTATATAGCCCTGAAATTCCTTGGAGGTCTCTTATCCAAGCCTGCTTAGCTATTTCAAGGTCAGATTGCCCTCTGCTGTAACACATCAGTGCATATCATCATTATTGAGGGAAACAGAGGAGGAATCTGAAAAAGTCATACAGAATTGGAGAAGCATATAAGCCCCAGTAAACAAATAAATTTTTTTAAAATGTGCTCTATTCTTTTCTTTATATAGGAAACACATGGCACAAGCACAGTGCTGCAATTGCCAGAGAACAGAGAGATCACATAATCTGCCCCCCCCCTTTTTTGGATTTTTTATCCTGCCTTATTTTTTTAAATAACTCAAGGCAGCGAATATACCTAATCCTCCTTCCTCCTCCTATTTTCCCCACAATAACAGCCCTGTGAGGTGGATTGAGCTGAGAGAGAATGATGGACCCAAAGTCACCCCGCCAGCTTTCAAGCCTAAGGCAGGACTAGGACTCAGAGTCTCCTGCTTTCTAGCCTGGAGCTTTAACCACTAGGCCAAACTAGTGTTATATGAGTTCCATATAAATATATATTCAACCAGGGACATGGCATCACGTCTTTTTATTTTAAAACAGTTGATATAAATTTTAAAATGAAAAAAAGTATGGTGCCCTTGGTTTAACAGTATGGTGCCCTTGGTCTTTGCACATGTTTTAATCACTATAGAAGTGTTGCACAATCTGTATATTAGAAACAGAAGTGTGATGAGCAACTACCCCTTCCTCAGTGATTCCATATCTAATAATACTGAATTCCATATTGAATAATTCAAGTCTTGAAGACGACTTTTCATTGTTTCCAGGAAAGATCTCATTCATCTTGAGTCCTGTAAGAGTGAACTTAAGTCATTTTAATCAAGTGGTTCCTAATATAATAGACAATAAATAAAGTAATATACCTCTTCTCCCCTTACTGGTTTATCATGCCATTTCATACAATCAAATTGATTAACTTTGGTTTTTGCTTTGATTTGTTCTTATGAAAATTTAAATGAGCAATTATGCATTCTACAAAATCAATAATGTACAGAAATGAAACTTCACATCAACCAGTGTTCTTTCAGAACTATTAATGTTGCCTTTTTCATATGCAAAAAAATAAATCCACTTTTATATCTTTATGCAGTGAACAATTTTAAACAGAAAAGATAGTAGTATAATAATTTGAACTTACTCTGTCTCCTTTTAACCCTGGTGTTCCACATTCTCCTCTGTCGCCCTGTAAATAATGATTGCCTTTATTTCAATTATATTTATACAAATTTGAGAATCTGAAATGGAATAATGCCAAACTATCTTGAAACTGATCATGATATCCTAAGAAGAGATATACACCGATGATTCAGTTTACATAAGAAATATATAAATCATTCAATTTAATCATTATAGGAAGCTCAGGGGAAAAAAAGTATTTCAATTCAGAGTCTGAATTTAAATTTTGATCCAGAAATTCAAATGACTATGCCGTCCATTTTGACTATCTTTAAAAAGATCAAACTCATATTTAATTTTAAGCACTGCATTTCTGAACATCTAATTACAGTGTGTACTAAATTGCCGAATGTGGCATTAAGACTTTTTTTTTTAGCCAGCTTACCTTTTCTCCCTTATACCCAGGACTTCCCTGTTACAAAATAAAATTAAAAATTACTTTATTTTACCATGGATACCTTATTAGAAATATCAGTAGTCTAATAATATAATAACTTGGCTGGGCATTTTGGAAAAAAAATGAATTCACATTTTTTTGAATTCCCCTTAAGGGGAAGAAAATGACATTTACACACATTTACACACACAGCTTTGTATATGCAAAGGTCCCTAATCATTTCAGCCTGCATTCATATGCAAGATAATAAAAGAACAGACACTCTTCACTGAAATACACACAGATTAAAAACATTTGAACTTTCATGTACTATATGATTTTGGGAACACATTGATACATATATCAACATAAATATATTGTATTCACTTGTAGGTCATCTTTTACTAATGAGCCATAAGCTTCTATTTCTAACCAATATAATCAAATGATTGTATCATCACATATACCTATTCCTTTTAATTAGAAGATTCCTAACTTTTGAGAGACCATATAAACAATAAAAATAACTGCCTTACTTAATAATTAAACGCTTCATTTTCCTGTTTATATCCTGCATTTTCTCCTAGATGCTCAAGATGCATTATAGCAACTTTCCCGGAGTGTCTTCTTGATGTGGAGACTTTCAGAATTCTCTGCCATGGCCATGTTGGCTGGGAATTCTGAAGTATCAAAGTGCATACATTTGGAGAGTGCCCAGGTTTGGGAAGGCTAGTATACATATTTCTCTTCCCATGTTATTTTCCCTAAAACTCTGAGAGATAGTTGTTAGACAGTCATTGGTCAAAAGTCATCTAATGTGTTTTATATCTGAATGAGAATTTGCATCTGGGTCTTTCCAGTCTGCTCCATTGTTCTCATAACATTATGTTCGTGTGTCTGTTTTCTTATTTTAGGAAAAGAAACTGAAAGTAGGCTAGACCCCTTTCTACCTCTTTTAACATCAGAGCTATTAAATGAAAGCAATTACTAAGGGACCTGCAATATCCTGCAGTTTTATTAAAATATCAGAAGCAGCATCACACCGTTGTGACACAACCTCTACCCCTTTTGTACATGCATATGATATCACATATACAAAAATGACAGGTTGCATTGCATTGGAGAAGAGTTTGCATCATTTGTCCCCTTTCTCCCTACCTAGGATTCCTCTAGGCAGGTAAAAGAAATAGAATATCCTTGCTTTCCAAGCCCCCACTGTGATACCAGAGTAATGAACCAATGGCATCAGATGACAAGCTGACAGAGAAGATACTAGTCAAAAAGCAGCTTCTTCAAGAACTGACAGTTCATTATATAGATGGGCTTTTAGCTAAATGAACACTGTAATTATCCATGTACCTCTGAACCTTTTTCACCGGGTTCTCCCTTCTCAGCCTCGCCCTAGAAATGAAAGGTAGAAACCAATTAAAAATTGTATTTACATCTGGAAAAATTATTGTCTTTTATGCTACATTTAACCAAGCATAGAACCCAACTTTGATTATGATCTTATTCAAATATATTGACCAAGATCCAAAGATGTCTACTGATCATTCCACAATGGAACCTGTAAAAAGCGGATCTTTCCCACAATCACGTTTACATTTTCTCACTGATATGGATTCCTTCATGAAAAGAATGCTCTGAAACATTCCCTTAGGAGCCATTTGGGTGACCATACTGATTTGGTTTTTCCCCTTAAGGTTTATAACTTTTTGAAGTACATCACAAAACCGGATGGACTTGATTCTAACAGATATCAAGCTAGAAATCTTAAGGGACCAGACTTTTTGAACAACAGAACAGTGGAACCTTAATTCTCATGTAAACCAAGAGCCAACAAGCACTGAGGAAAAGAAAGCTGGTTCCTAATCATGGGAGAATAAATATTTTAGGAAAATTGTCATAGCTGATGGATCTCATAGAAACTATGAGAGGGAAAGCACCACAACACGGATTATTAGAAGCATCCTGGGTCACATAGACTATCAGTAGGAATATTATATCAAAGTCAATGAATGTGTGGATCTGAGAAACAGTTGGGCCTTCATGAGAAGCTGAGGATACAAGATCATTCAGTAGCCAGGTGAAGGAGTGTCTAGCACTGTGTTTCTCAAACTCAGCAACTTTAAGAAGTTTGGACTTCATCCATGCTGGCAGGGCAATTCTGGGAGATGAAGTCCACACATCTTAAAGTTGCTGAGGTTGAGAAACACTGGTCTAGCAGATAACCAGAACTCCTTGTGAGTAATGAGCTACTTATGAGTAAGATCCCCTTAGAACACTATGCAAACTTAAGTGTGCAGCTGATATTTTAGAGCTCTGTAAACTTAGCCCTAAAAGTTGTCAGTTTGGGAAGGTTAATTGCCAAAGCAGTATCTGTTCACCAGTCTTTCTGTTGACTAACTGCTTGTTGGTAAACAAGTTTGGACTAAGTATGTTTTGTCCTGAGTAATAAATCTAAAACCCTAGCAACTCAGGACAGAGTGAGAGTTATCTGCTAATTCTTTGATTCTTCAAAGGTCCCTCAAAGAAACTTGGAAAAAATATATAATAATTGCATTCATCTTTTGCACTAAGCCATGGTTTCTTTAACAATGGTTTACTGAATAAATCATAACTGTTTGAGTTAATACAACCTGCTAAACAAAAAAAACACACCACATTGTGATTTGCAAATTCCAATTCTAATTTACCTTTTGTCCCTTAGGTCCATGTTCACCTTTATCTCCTCTTCCTCCATGGCCACCCTTAAGAAACAAAGAAAACATATATATTATTTACTTATTTATCAAATTTATATACTATTACATACTGAGTATACTGTTATATATTGAGTATATATTCAATGCATTCTAAAGTATGTCTGACTGGCAGAACGACCAACGGTTAAAGAAGGAAACCAAAAACTATGTATAAGAATAGACACATCATAGACTTCCAGTGAGGATTCATGGGAAACTACAAGTCCCTGAAGGGACGGAGATGGCATTGCGGCAGACATTGAGAGCCAGATGGTGAATTCTGCCCAGCGAAATCTCTCCGGAAGAAGGAGAGATCGTGAGATCACCCACATGTACTCCAGGCAGCTGCTTCTCATGAATAAACTGCAGGAACCAATGTTTTTGTAGCTGGCTTATGAGTTGAGCAGCTGGGAGTTGAGGGATTTCAACCAACCTCACAGCTGTAATGTAGCCCATACGGACATAAGGTTCATCTAGCCTCATTTCTTAATCACTTTCAGAAATGGCTTCTTGACTGCTTTTTAGCTATTAGGAACTTTCACAATGGCAAGCTTTAGAACACTGGGTGAGTCCCCTTTAATCCTTAGCTAAATATGTTTTAAATACACATTTAAGGAATTTTAAAAAATATTTTCTTTTGGAATAAACAGCAAAAGGTGATTAGAATGTTGATTTTGGAAAGTTACAAATGTACTAAGGGTCCAGGTAGATTTGAAATAAGATTTTGAAATTAATTATAAGAATCCTTCCCATTGGAAAATACTGTTGTTCTGAATTCTTAAAAAAAACATGATAGGATGGGACTTTGAAGGTTGGATACTAGAGGGAACCAGAAGGAACTAAAGATTATAATTAAAAGAGAAGAACACTGGAATTTGATTTACTAATACAGAATGGAGCAAAATACTTTAACATTGGATATATTGAAGGATATTTGTGAAGAATAAATGCAGACGTTAAAAATGTCTGCCATTATAGATAGACTGTGTTTAAAAGATGTTATGGAAGAAGAACAAGTTTTACTGGATAAGACTGATTTGAAAGTGGATTTAAAAATGGCAAACTATAAGAATGATATGGAAAAAGATGCTACACTAGATATACAAATGAAACTGGCTGTCTTTTTAATTAAAAGGACTATACAAATAACAAACCAAAAGAGTGACCTGGATAACTTTCTTATATTGGATTTACAAAAGAGTCTTGTACAAGTTTGAAGGATTTTGTGAGAAGGGACAAAGAAAAAATGAAAAGAAATCAAGTTCTAGGATAATACTTGAAGGGGTTAAAGATCAAGATTGTTAAAAGTAAAAGGAAGGGATATAAAGTTGGTTTATATGAAGGAATGGATCTCTGAGGAGGAGAGTGATGTGGGAGATCAAGGCTATTGGGAAAGAGGGGGTGCATTCCAGGAGAGAGGAGGAGGCAAGAGGCAGCTGAGTTTGCCACAGGAGTGTGGGAAGCAAAAGAGGTTCAGGATAGCCACTCCCTAGAATCTCCCAGGGTATATCCACTAGTTGCTGTAGTATAGATTTAGCCTGGTAAGATTCTGTCTATAAGGTGTAAGCAAATAAAAGAACTGGACTGGACTGGACTGTTTCATTGTTGTTCTTGGGCTGGGCCTGACAGTTTATTTGATCAAGGTTAAAATAGATATGTTGTTATCTCTGGTAACCATTAATGGACTTTTGCTGACAGGACTGAACAAGGAGGCTTTAAAGATTTGCTTATAGATAAGAGATGAGATATGGGAAGAAAAGATCATTTGTTGTATTTTAACAGAAGATGATAAGTTGTTAAAATTGTTTATACTTGTTGTTATGAAGGGGGAAGTCATTTCTTTATATATTTCTTTTCTTTACTATATTATTTTTTATTTTTTAATTTTAATTTTAATTTTTTCCCTCTTTTCTACATTTTCTATTTTTTCTTTATATTCTTTTATTTGTTTTTAGTTTGTATTAGTTCTTATCATGTTTAATTGTAATGTGTAATAAAATAACTATATATATATCAAAAAAGAACAGACACATCATATAGTACACCAGCCTTTTCCAATGTGGTTGGATAACAACCCTCAATATTTGTTCAACAAAATCTCAAGGCAGATAATAACAACTGAATAGAATCCCAAACCTAAAAATCCAAACACAATTATAATGTAATTAAAATACATGCCTCTATCGTTATATACTTGCCAACATTAAGATTTGCAGTTGAAGCTCTTTAGAAGATGCTGCTATTTGCAGAGACCCATTTGTTAAATCTATAGGGCAGTGTTGTCCAAACTTGGCCACTTTAAGATGAGTGGACTTCAACTCCCAG